CTTTACACACGCACCCACGACTTGCATTAATTGCTAGAAGACAAAAATACGAATTAATTTTCTTTTCTTTTGTTTAATTTATCATTATCTTTATTGAAAAGACAATACGGGTGGTTTTATCATTTAAAAATAATTCACCAACTTCGAATTCCCTAAAAGACACTTTTGAAAAATAAATTTGATTCTCATGATGAAATAAATCTATTCCAATTTAATTTAATTTTTAATGTTATTTCTAAAATTTCTTTTAAAATATGTGAATTCTATGTTTTAAGTTAAATTTCGAATATATAAAACACAAGTAGAATTTAAGTTCATTTTATGAGCATAATTTTAAAACATAAATTTCATAAAAATTTTATTAATAGACTAAAATGAGTTTATAAATATAATTATGACTTAAAGTTTATAATAGGTCAATATCATTAATTAGTAAATAAATATAAATTTCGTAACGGGAATAAACAAGGTCATTCACATCTTCGATTATCTACCATTTCAGGTAGTCAATGAGTGGTTGATTCAAAATGTGAGAGGCCATAAGTATTCTTACCAATAAAAAATTAACCTTTGAATCTAAATCAACCATTCATAAGTAAAATATCACCTTACGAATATATAGAACTATAAGATGTAATTGTTTTTATTTGTTATAGTTGATTGTTGTTCACAACATAAATATTAAGATGTTATTGTTTTTATTTATTATAATTGATTGTGGTTCACAACATAAATAGTAAAATGTTATTGTTTTTATTTGTTATAATTGATTGTGGTTCACAACATAAATATAATTAATATTTTTCCTTCATTTACAAAGTTAGCTCCAATTTTGAGAAATCATGTCTGTAAATGACCAAAATATTGGCATTTATTAATTTAAAACCAATTATCTAATCTATAACCATAGTTCCAAAGAATAACTATTTTGGGACAGTAACGAAGCCCAACCCTCTTGATAAAGTTTTTTTCTTGAATTGAGGCAAATACTCACAATTATGTACAATGCTAACCTATGATTTCACAATATGTTTTGGTTTAAATTTTATTTATTAAAAGAAGACATTTGATGCAACCTACACATTATATAGTTTCACAATGAAGTAGTTTATGAAAATCGCATCTATTTATTTACTATTTATTCACTAAAACCTATATCTCAGCATTATTTATGTAGGAGATGAAGAAGCAAACACTAATCTATTCTTACAGGAATAATACATGATACTTGTAACACATTCAGGCAAATCGAATGTCCAAAACAAATCCATGGAATCACCAATGTTGGTTGCTGATTGCATGGTCAAGGATAATTGACGGAAAACAAGCAAGAAACTAAAACAGAGAAATATAAAAAACGGGGAGAGAGAGAGAGAGTTGTACAATTTAGATCGTGTGCATGTGTGTGCTCTTGTGACTTGAGTCTTGCCTAAAGTGGATGCAGACCAGAGGCAGAAGACATAAACCAACAACTTTATTACTACAAAAAGCAAATACAATGGGGTGAGGTCGTTCGCTCCTGAATCCGGAAGAACCTGAACCCTCTTAAACCGTCGGCGTTGGATACTTGGGAAGCCCTCTCGACGAGACTTGGCCCAGCTATCAGTCGAGAATGAACAAGGCGGAACCTCAAACAACTGAAGAAGTCGATCGTTCACGAAAGGCCCACATACCGTCCGAATTCCCAATGACTAGCTCAAGAACTTTACGATTTTGAAGTGGGTAATCCAAATTCTCTTTTGGGTTCTAGGAGTTTTAGGTTCCTAAATATAAGAAGTTTTAGGTTCCTAGGGGATTTTTAGGTTGGAGGGCAAAGGCAATTTGAGAACTTTCTTCTAGGATTGGGGGTATTTTGGGTGGTAACTAGGGGTAATTTGGGTATTTTGGTGAAGTTGAGGGGTAATTTGGGGATTATGAAATATAGGCAATGGCGCTTTGGGAAGTTAAAGTTTCCTCTCTCCCAGGCAAGGTTTTCTCTCTCTAGGTTAGAGCCTAATTCTCCAATCCTTAATCCTTAAAAATGAGGTTTAAGTTGCTTTTATAGACATGGGAAAACATGGGTGGTATATTAAAAGTTGGCGAGTGGGAAATTAGAAGCATGGCTCAAAGGGAGGTAGATTATTAAAAGTAAAAATTCGGGCAAGGGCTAAAAATGACCAAAAACGGCGCCTAAACCTTGGAATTTTCAATGATTTTCCTTTGAGGAAGCTTCATTTTCCATCCACCACCAAAACCCATCAAATCATACCGTTTTTCCACTATTTCAGCCCAAATTTCATCCATGAAATCATGGAGCAATCAACTAAGATTATTTTGCAGAAATTTGAGCAAAAGCTGTCCACGATTTGCCAAGTTTCACTTATTATGAGTTTAGGTTTTTCATTTCTGATAAAAATTGCATACCCATTTCAACACCCTGTCATTGTACTCAAATTTGGTCATTCTTGTGGAAGACCCCAAGACCCATGTTTGGCAAAAATTACAGCTCAAGATGATGCCAGATTGGAGAGATATAGCTCTTTTATTTTTTACTATTTTTGGTAACTGTAGTCTCATAAATTTAGGTAGGGGTTCTTTTTTTTTTTTTTCATAGATTTAGGCAGCTTCTTACTAGGTTTCGCCCCTATAATTGGCTTTTGATCGTGGATTGGCATAAATGGGTGCGTTCATCTCTAAAGTTAGGAAGCTCCCTACAAAAGTTTTGCTCAAATAGCTGTATGGATTGCGAGATATCGTTCCAAGAGTGAACGGATGTCACGGGGACTGATACACATCACTTGTTGCGAACATCCAACTTTTTGGCTCGATTCGACCTCCAACCGAATGGAGAAACCCGTTGATCCATACATGGATGCAAAGCTCATGTACCAAGGAGTAACATCTGAACTTTAGGCTCATTTGGCTGCAAGAACCAAGAGATATGGCCCCTGAATTTTTTCCTAAAATTCCATGGATTACTGTAATTCTCATAAGATGATGAATCACAGATCAGTAGAATGTGTTTTTCTTTTCTCTGTGGTGCACTAAACATGATGCCAAAAATGGCACTTTGATATCAAGTTTGGCTATAATTTTTACCAAAGGTTTTCCTCATAATCACCTTCCTCCCATAAAAATTTGAAGTTTATTGGCCATTTATTTCCTAGGTTCCTTTTGTAAAGTTGGACCGATTCAGGTGGACCCTGTCTACGGTTTAAAACGTTCAAGAGGCCATATCTCTTCCATCCGATGTCGAATTGGGCTCAAATTTGGAATGTAACCTTTTTATATTGATGCCTTCCACCCATAAAGTTCTTAGGCCAATTATCTTTGTATATCTTGAGGAAGCTTAGTAAATCGGCTTTAGATCAACATTGTGAAATGGACGGTTGAGCTTTGTCGGGCCATATTTTGGTTATCCTTTGTCACATCGGTCTGATTTTGGACAATGATCTCATGGAACCTTAGATTGAGGTTTAAAATCTTCTGATTGCCAATACAACCCAATCTGACATGGATTTAACAGTACACTATCTCCAAGTGGTAGATCAATGTTGTGAGATGGATTGTCGAGCTTCATCGGGCCATAGTTTGGTCATGCGGCATGAGATTGGCCCGGTTTTCAAAGGGTAGCCTCAGGATACCTTGGATTAAGGATTCAACGGTCAGATTATGATTTCAATTTCTTTTGACCCAAGTCTGACCCTGCCTCATTTTGAAAGGAAGCTCCCTGCCAAGTTTGACCCTGCCTCATTCTGGAGCATCCAATTGGTGATTTTAGGCATGATTGGGCTCGAATCTTTGTTTTTGGCAGGGAGCTTCCTTTCAACATATTAAGGGGATTTTTCAGTTTTTGATTTATTATGAAAGTACTTTTCACCCACTATAACTATTTCAAGTGGTTCCTTCGGTATCTGGCAATTATCGTGCTGGGAATTTATCCGGCTGAACATCGTCACTCCTTGATACTAGTAACATCTTATTTGAGACAAAATAACCCCAAACAAGTGCTACTGATAGAAATGAATTTTGTGTTAATTTTTTCCCTTTTTCCTTTAACGTTTTTGTGTGCTACATTGTATTAAAACATCTACATATGTGTAGAATGCTCTTAAGGAGCATTTATGGGACTCTTTGTCATTTCGATATGTCACAAGACTTTAAACAAATTATTTGATTATAAATCGCTAACAATAACTTTTTAAAAAATATCTTTTTTCTGTAAAAAGCACCCAAGTTAAAACGTATATTGCACGTTTTACTGCTAGTATCTTTAATAATCCCTTAGTTGTAACTCTGTAATTTCCCATGCTCATCCCTACAAATGTCCAACTTAGTTATGCATCCAACCAATTCAACCACAGATGTAGTGATAAACCCTATGACTTTAATTACCATCCTATATCACACACATGCAAAAGGCAACATTACTCAACCCTTACATGCAGCACAAAGAAAACCCCCTGCTAAAATTAAGGTGGTCATGCTTTTGTCTCTAGCATGTTTATGCTAAGATCATCATGTCAGTCTCCTTCAATCACATTGCGCCCTAGGAAAATTATCATCATAGCCTTTTCCCAACTAAATGGGGTCGGCTACACGAATCTTAGTCCGCCACTCTAATCTATAAAGGATCATACCCTCTATGAGGCCATAAGTCCCTACATCTTTTTTTACTACTTCCAACACTGTCCTTTGGACCTACCCCTTACCCTTTTTGAGCCTTCCATTTGAACTAACTCGCACCTCCTAACAATTGTTATACTGGGTCTGCGCTACACATGACCTAGAAAAACACACCAAAAAATTTCTGACATATTTGCACCTAGCAAAATGGCAAAAGGACATAATATGTGCAACTAGAGACATTCAATCCATTACACTTCGGTTCATGCTTTCATTAGTTTCTAAAATCTGCGTATATATGGATTAACACTGAAATTGTCTTAATTAGGCTTTTTATGTCTTTTGGTGCATCTTAATGCATGCATAGGAGCTTATTCAGGTGAATAAGGCAATGAGAAATGTAAAATAGGTCATTGCAAGTAAATTACCAGGTTTCCGTCGACTAAAGCCTTTGCATTTTTCAAATGCTGGGCATGGCATGAAATTCCTCGAGTAAGAACATCTCTAAAGTTGAGAGAATCCACCATATCCTCAGCAAATATTGGCAATCTGGAAAAAGCAATTGCCTTTTGTAAGTATAATTATTTATACTAGTACTAAATATAAAAGCAAAAAGAAACCAAATCAGATATAGTTGAAAATCCAAATCACAGCCATCGAAAAGGTGCAGAATTTCTCTGCCATTAACAGCATCCTAGATAGGAATCTAGCAAAATAATTAATTTTTTCATATTGGAATTTAGACCAATATGTTCTTTGCCTTTCATAACTCAATCATCATTGCAGACTTAAGCTACATGACAAAGGAAAGGAAGACAAATATACATTAAGACATCAAAACGTAAGTTGACAATAATAATCTTTATGTTAAGATGTTGCATACAATTTAGAGTGAAGCTCATTAAAGTTCCTCTCTCTATGGAGCTTTTGTTTCATGGTGTTCATTACGTAATTCATCATAGCATGCAACATGATATGCATCTGAGAATCACGATGGAAAGAAAAGCACATCTATGCCCACTGTGAAACTTTTTTTTTTTGTTATCGTTATCAAAAGATTTCATTACTAAAATAGAAGCATAAAGGATCCAAGAACAGAAAACAAAGTTCAAGAAATGGTCAAAACAATATCTCAGGTTCTGACATTGACGGTGTGTCGGCATTTAAGCGATTCTCAAAAATCCCCTTCATTGACAAGGGCATCAGTCTCTCATTTAGCTCCCTGCCCACTCCAAACTGTTTAGTAGCCAAATTGAATCTACTCAATAACATTATTCTCATATTTCTATGATCCCAAAGGTAAAGTAAAGATTAAATGGATTTCAGTTATGATTGAACATATTCCTTTGAAACTTTGAAACAGACTCAAAGCTGAAGAACGAAAAAGGATCCCGTACCTTCATTTTATTCAATGAAATTTGTCATCAATCAAAGAAGTATACCAGCTATTGGAGAAAAATTGATACCTTTACCATGTAACTATAACTCATTCTATATGTGCCTATTATCATTATTAGATTTCCTTTAATTTCATATTGCATGACATTCTGCTTACAAACCAAATATCTGACACTGTTGGTTGCAAAAGTTCAGTTTCTTTTTTTTTTGGGGGGGGAATATACAAAAATGCAGTTTCCTGGCGAAACCCATCCAAAATTGATGCCCTCATTCCCACGTTCAAACTCATACACCCTAACAAAAATATGGTCTCAAAGGTACATGTTTGACCCACCCTACAATGGAAAAATCACGCATGCTCGATTATAAAGTTCATTTGGCATGACATCAAAAGTACATGTGAGATCTAAGGATTCTTGAATTGTCTTAACATGAAATTGTTGGCAAGTAGACTAGAAGAAGGAATTTCTTTTCAGTAGTCATACAATCTAAAAGGAATTACAAATCCTTTCAGCTTTATGGAAAAGAATCTAATGTTCCCATTCATGAAAATATCAGCACAACGAAGAAAAAGGAATCATACAACTTATGCAAGTAAAAGTACAAATGGTGATTTACCGTATTTCAAAGCTGTAGTTGCATCTAAAAGTTTGAAGGCCTGACACTATCTTGGACAACTTGAAATCACAAAGCCTTAAAGAGGTTGATGAAAAATTTGAACCCAATAAGCAACTTCGACAGGACCACCTACAAATCAAACTTATAAGTCAAAATCAATTGGTACACAGATATAAGCATGCATAAAGAAATATATATTAATTGAGTAAGTAAACAGAAGGAGTCTCTCATAAATACTCACCCATCTTCTATCAGTTCCGGGGATCCAGTAAAGATCCCCCCACCTGAATTGTGTTTTTCGTAGGTGAAAAAGGAAAAGCACTAAATCAATATTACAGTAGATAATTACCATTTCTGACCTCCTTATTAGGAGTTAAATTAATAGAAAAAACTTCAGGAAATTATAGACTCAATGTAAAATTAAAAAAACTGAAGCATGAGAAAGAATCGCCATATTTTTTAGGCTACTATTCTTTGTGGACATGCCAGAGACAATGGGGAGAGCATAATAAATAATTACAGCAAGAATGTGACCCACTTATTAGCAACAACCTTGGCAAACCATAACAGACGTTAAAACCTATGTTGAATGGACACGAGTATGTATGCCAATGTGATATATGGGTATGGGGCCTCGGATTCCTCATGCCATGAAAAAGAGAATTTCATGATGCGGCTATATTATAAAGAGGCAACCAACTCCAACAATCTTTTACTAATACCCATTTCATGATAAGCAAGAAAAAAAATCAATTGTATACTAGTTGGCTGGACTGAGATATTTACAATTATTTTCAAAGTCCATTGTCTTTAAATGATGTAATCAATAGTCACTAAAAAAGACGAAGAATCTGTGTCGGTATGCATGCCAATAAGTGTCCAACTTTGGTACAGCAACCAAACAGAAGAATCCATGTAACGCAGGCAGTATAAAACCAATGCATTTTGAAACTGTCAAATACATTAAACACAATCTCCTTCAAGCACATAATTGAATATTAAAGTATGATGAGAAATGAAGGCTGTGTATCTAAAATAGAATTTGCAGTAGAAGTTGCATGCATTAATCCAACAAAGTAAGGTCAATTACGCTTTCACTTCATTTCATCAAACATCCATCAATATTTTACTTATAGGCGTAAAGCTTTTAGGACATAGCTAAACTACAGAATACAGGGACAAAGAACCCCGAGGGAATGAAAGTACAATAGATATGATTGGTTAGGAAAAATACAGTAGGATGAATATGTTTGTTTCTGGTAGCAAATCAGTTGAATTGAATATAGGAACTACACCGGGATTTGAACCTTTAGAAACTGTAATATACAATGAGACTGGATCATTAAACAAATTTTAGATTTATTTTCTTTAATAGAAAAATTTGAGAAGATTTATATTGAGAGGTATTGATAAAAAACAATACTTAACCATATGGATAACTAAAAGAGTGTGGTTTGTACGAGGCTGAGGCCCTAACCAATCAAAGTAAGGTGCGCCTTCAAATAGTGCCGAAATATGTTGTTTTAGTATCAGAAATCTTTGTGATGGCTTGGAAATTTATTTTTATCTATAATTATAAAATTTAAAGATTTGAAAATGTTATAGATCGAGTCAATCAATGAACATTTGCAAGTCTTGGAAATTGACAGTCCAGATAATACATAACTAGATGCACAATTTACAAGACTTGAAATCTAATCTTCTCATGTCCATACATCTTGAGGTCGAGATGATCGAATTGAGGGTTTTCAGCATCGAAACAACCTCTTCTAGTGAATTTTTGAGGTGCACCTTAATTTGATTGTTTAGGGCCTCACCCTTATATAAATTTTTCGTAACTAAAAACTAGCAAAGATCACAAATAACTGCTACAACGCACAAATAAATATCGAGTGTAACTATGGATTTAGTAAGTTTTTGCGATGTAAAGAAACTCAAATTTTGTGGACAACTTGAGCATGTACAAAAAAAAGTCTATTTGCTGAGTTGAACAGTAAACTCAGAAAAATTGGCAAATTTTTCAAATTTTCGTGTGAACAATTTTAATGGACCCCTGGTCCTCAGCTATCCATAGCAAAGTTATCAAAACCAAAGCAGCTACCGAAGGAATGGGGGATCTAGTCTCATCAAAATAAGTATGATCGTTGGTCGGACCAGTTGGAGTAGAATTAAGAAAAACAATTAGCAAAAATGCTTTAGAAATATAAAATATATCAAAAAAAGTTGTTCAACCTTGTTTTGCTTGTCCAGCTGATCAAACCAGCTGACCCGACTAGTCACAACCGGTCAAACATTGGTTTTGGCTAGTTTTCAACAAACCTAGTTTCCACTTTGGCCGAGACCAGCCCAGACATTGGTGTGTAATACGATGTCTGGGTGTGCAATATGAACAATCAGACCAGCCCCAATCTAGTCTAATCTTGATAACACTAATCCATATCACAGTGCCAACATATTGGAAACATAATTTATTTGTCAAACTAAACACAAAAACTCATATACAACAATATACTCATATACATTCCCAATTCTTCATTTATAAAACTTGCCGATCTGGCAATTAGAGTTGATGCGGCTACAGTTTTTCCCACTCAAGACGAGTTTTTATTCATTGATTTTTAGAGGTTAGTATTCTTAGTATTGCAAGGTTCCCATGTCAGTGCAGGAGAGTGAACCTCATAGTTTCCCATCAATATTAGCTTTTTCTATTAATTGAAGGAAAGAACAAAGAAAGATTCTTGAAACCTCTTCATTTAACCCTTGGATAACAAATACAGAAATTCCCCCTTGAGCCCCATAATTGCAGCACATAATGCCCAAATGTTTAAGCTAGACCATCTATAATCCCTTCTCAACAGCTGAATAAGTAATGTGGCACAAATCTAGAGATGACTAGTTTGGGGCAAACCCTGATTTAACAAACCCTAATTTCTCAACCATACGTCTAAAACCTTTTCTATTAGCAGACAAAGAAATTTTCTTGTAATCATTTAATAAAATATAAATCATTCCACTTTCATTCTACAAGCACAATCTTAATTTCGTTAGCATGTCATAAAAAAATAACAAACTCAAATTTCGAAATCGTTAGATTTTGACTAAGCAAATAAAGAACCTCACTAGCCTATCATTCTCACAAAGCTTCTCATCATATTTTGTAGTATTAATTTCTACTACTTATGGTGATTTTTCTAGAACGGAACCTGTTGTTCAAGTGGAAGGCTTTAAAAGAGCAAAGGGAAGGCCCCAAAGGACAAGGATGTAAGTAGTGAGAAAATATATGATGAGTTATTGTCTGACTGAGGGTAAGGCCCTTGATAGAGTAGAATGACGAAACAAGATTCGTGTAGCCGATCCCAAATAGTTGGGATAAGGTTCAGATGATGATGATGTTGACTTCCTTGGAATTCAGTCAATGTCCAAAAGTTTCCTAAGTGAATGTTGTTAAACTCTGCGTGAGCTTGGGATTCACCCGGATGATGATGATGTTGATCTCCTCTGAATTCACGAGAATTCATTAGCCAACTCTTTACACCACCAAAGAAATTAAGGTTAAAACTCAATTCAACATTCAAATAGAAGTTTAAATAAATACAATAAATATTGACAAGAATAATGTGACAATTAAATAGGGGATGGCAAGAAATATGTCCAAACTCATGTCAGGCAGTTTTGCTGCTGTCCAAACTCACATCTAGCAATTTTGCTGTCCAGATATGGTTAATAAATTCCAGAAAGAACAACCTAGCCCAGCTCAGACATTCTTTCTTGGGCGATGGAAGAGAAAAAAGCAAATATTAGATAACAATATCAAAGAGGAATATTAGGGAATGAACCTTCTCGGGCTATAAGACATGTGAAGAAGAATTCTCTCTTCCAGATTAACCCCTCCACAAATAGGTGCTACTGCAGCTACTGCCTTCACAGTCTGCAATAGGAGCCCATAGGAATCATTAAACACCATACATACATAGCCTAGACAAAAAACCACAGAACTTCCTCAAATAATTTAGCAGAAAAAAATCAACAACTCCTATTAAATGCACAACATGACATCTAAATCACCTCTCACATACACTAGAACATAGTTAAAAGGAAAAACACAGTATGTTACAGGCCATAACTAGATATTGAATGGCAACCAGATCAACACAAAATAGGTTGAAGCTAAAAGGTAATGAAACCAATATGTATGCAATTCCAACAATCAAATTTAAGCACCTGTGACAAGTCATCCCTATATATTTGTCACATGAGAACTACCATGCCCAGAAACTGCTTAAGGCTAGACTCATGCATCCAATGGCCAAGAAAATAATACTAGGATTCATATGTTAACAACAAAATAGTTGGTTCCCTTTAGCATCGGTTTTTTAATTACAGAGATGTATGTTAACCAGAAAGCATAACTTACATACAGTTCACATGGGTATTCATAAACCACAGCTTCTCAATGAACTCAATGAATGATTTATGATAGATTTCCTTTCAACTATACTTTTACAGTGTTGCCATTGATATAAATACAAATCCTAATTCTTTCATGAGCTGAAGACCCATGTTAAGATCTATTGTTACTTAACTTGGAGAAGTTCCTTGGAGTAACATCATTTTCTCACATAAGCACAGGTTAACAGCCGTTTTTTTTTTTTTAAAGATATGAATCAACTTATCAAGACAATCACCGTCACAGGATGAACTCTACCCTTTCAATCATAATTCTTCAAAAAGAAAGATACTTAGGTCATAATAACATAATAAGAGTGTTTTTGTCATTTATTTTACTTGTGTACTTGAGAAAGTTAAAACCATGTTCTATTAAGAGAGAAAATATCATAATGTCATTGCTGTCTGTTGTCCAATCTCTCCATCACCATGCATCCATTGATTCCATGTCAATGACACTTACGACCATTCTCTTTATATTGTGACATATATCATGGTATAGTTTCCCCTTTACGAAAGGCAAATAGTTTGTAGTCAACATGTTATTGAAGAATGATGCTTAAACAGCCATTACATGTGGCAGGGATGCAAGATCACAAACTAGACAAGTTCAGACTTAGTCAGACAGTCCCAATATTATGTTCTTCCTGAAAATTGAATACAGCGAAAACTTTGAAGACAAGGATTTGAAATAGGACAAGAGATAACGCGAATGACAAAATGAAACTTGAAGTGAAGATTATTGTTTTAAAACAATTCTAAATATCACAAATATGACAACTTTATTCAAAATTTAAGCTTTTATCTATAGATTTTGTCCGAATTACTCTTAATTGATAAATGGATACAAAAGTAACTCCAAAGTAAATTTCATAATAAATATTTAACTTAGTCTTTAAGCGATACAAAACTTAATTTTAATATCAAAATGCTTCTTGTAACTCTTTAACCAATGAATAGATTTAAATTTTATATATTTACAATGTAAAAATCCCATGCTGCATGTTTGTGTTCATATCATGTTGGTAACCCGAGGTATTAAAGTAACATTATGTACAGAACTTGCAAAAGCAATAACCTTAAATACAAAGCAAAAACCTGCAGGTCAACCTCGAAGGCATTGCAAAGAGGCTACACAGTTCATAGCAAATGGAACCCTGACCATATCTATAACAACCGAATCACCAACATGGACCCTAAAGCCCATCCAATTTCACAAACATTATATATCAACACCTTTATATCATGAGAAGTAAATATTAAGGCACAATACAAGCAGTTTAGGTTATTTATGAAACAATGCAAAAAGAAATGATATGCCTAATTTTTCTGGGTCATTTGGTAACAAAAGTGTGACCTTAAAATATTAACAAAAGAGATAAATAAATAAGTGAGCAAAAATAACCATATGATCGGAAAATGAGATGTCATGCCAAAGTGGTACAAGCATCTTATAATAAACACAAGTTTTCAGATTACCTGCCAAAGGAGTAAGCTTGAACACTTGAATAAGCTCTCCCCAACCCATACATAGACCCCAACCACATGTATCCCTCCCAAAAGCATCTTGGAAACCTGAAATAACATTCAATTTATTGGTTTAGACGCATGACCAGTGGTTTAAAAAGCGGATCGGTGACCCGGATCAAGCACCTCAAAAACCCATCCGGATCGGTGAATCCGCGATCCGGATTGGGAATCGGCCGACTCGGTAGGATTAAGCCTTAAAACAAATCTGAAGAAATTATTAAAATTCATTATAAATGTTATTTTTTAGAAATTCAATAAGAAATGGCGGTACTCCATTAAGAAATGTCATTTCTTTGTATGGATATGCGAATATTGATATGTTCTTTCCCTGCACGAACTACTATTTACCATTTAATTTATATCACACAAAAGGATAAACATATAATTATCATCG